GACTGATCCTGTTTATTAAGAAAGTGGGACAAGCCAGGGTCGCAATCGAGACCGGACGAGCCACGAGGAGAGGCAGCCAGCGCGGGAGGCGAGGCACTTCCACAGCGGCAAACAGCGCGTGAACAGGGCGCCCCCGGGAGAGCTCTCGTCCAAAAATCAATTTAGAGTGAGTAGCCAAGACGGCGAGATTAGCGACACACACACACACACTAGCCGAAGCGAATAAAAACAAACACGACTGAAGAAGTGATCGACAGAAAATTCTGATTACAGCTAGGGCAAGCAGAGAAAAGGCATTCCCCGCCTGCCGAAGCGATCGTATGATCATCGAGTTCTCGGCCGGTTTCCGCGTAACTTCCCCGTCTGAGGAAAATCCACGCGCGTTCTGGAAGCGGCGGCGGTCACGGAGTGCGTCTGGCGGGCAGCGCAGCCTTGAACCTGTGAGTCACTGCTCAGTTTCTTGCGGGTTCCCAGCAGGTAATCTTCGCGAAAAAGCATGAGCGCCGCGGCGTGACGACAGCAGAAGTGCTTCTGAAAAGTGCCTTCGCCAACCTCGCAAAGCGGCAAAAGTAACTGAAGGGGCACAGAGCGAGGGCGACGCCGCGAGGGGTGAATGAAGCTGGTGGGTCCCGCGCCTACTACCGGGAGGTGCCGACGGGGAGGGCGCTGGGCGATGACTCATTCTGTGACTCATGTGCACACTCACTCCCATCTCCCGTTCCTTACTCCAAAGCGGAAGATTATTCGCACCCTCAATTGCGTCATCTCACGGGACCCTTAGCAACGTGATGACGCAAGACAACAGCGCAAGCTCTGAGCATGATCTCCACAACAAAGGCCGACCCTACATCGAATAAAAGGACACCAAGGGCCCCGCGCATGCGCCCTTTTGACGAACTATGAAATCCCAAGAAGCCCAGCAGTCTGTCGAGCCAGGCCAAACGGGCGGGGAAAGTTGGGGCGTATGCAGGGCTGAGAGTCAGAACACATGCGGAGCTGGGAGCGAGGGCGAGCCACGGACACATTAGGGATGAGTAAACAAGTCGAGGGTGCGAGCAAAAGTCGCGAAAAAATCCCCCGATGACGTGGCTGCGTGTGTGCCCTGGCCAAACAGCGCGTCGTGGTTGGAACTGGGATAGCCGAGCTGGAATGACCTCACTCCTCGAAATAGAAATTATATGACAATTGCTGAATACTATCATAAAAGGCTTCCTTAATCAAAAAGAACTGAGGGCGCGAAACCGTAATCTTACGAGGCAGTGGGAATGCGACCAGCCTCCCGCTGGCCGCCCACACCTTAATGGCCTTACATTCCACCACTGGCCATGTGGTCTCCCCCCCCCCTCTTCGCCGCAGTCAATACATGACGTGTCCAAGTATTTATAGAACAAGATCACCCCCACCCCCTTCCTGCGTGACTCACCCATGCATTCTAATTGTTGCGAAGGCCCGTGACCTCCACAATGTCACGGCCATTATACACGAGCTGTAGAACTCGCCCGCAGAACCTCCAGGACCGAGCGATTCAGCCTCACTCCCGGCTCTTCCTCCCTCCTGGCTGAGTAACAGGCAAGCGTCCTGTCACTTCTATGTCAAGATTTTCCTGCTTTCACAGCTACCAGAATTTCGCCCGTCGGGGTCACACGCGTCCTTTGTGATCAGCTGTTACGTCACCTGTTGGAAACATGCTCCTCAGGAAATCCTCGGCGCCGACGTCTCGCAGCTGCCCTCCAAGTGCCTTCCTCTAATCTCTCGCAATGCTGCCGGACCTTTAGGACGCCTTCCCCTTCAAGTGCGTGGCGAGGGAAGGGCTCTCCCCCCAGGGCACGCCTGTGAGGGACTACTATGCCCGGCGAGGCCACGAAGAAGGCAACACTATGAGGCAGGGATGAAAGCCTGCGGTATGACGCCGGCGGAGGTGAAGTGCCCGCAGTTCTCTTAATATTCAATGGGACCCTTCCACGCCCTGCCGCATGCTGTCTGACGCACAATCGGAGGAGCGGCTTGGGGGCAGCAAGGGGGGTTCTCCCTCCCATGAGGAGGGAAGGGGATTTTACTCATCCTTCTGGCAAAATGTGCGACGTGGACATCCCTCCACATCGCAATCAGAGCCACTTCCGGAAACCCGGGCCCCACGCTGTCTGCCATCCGATGAAACGCCCGAAGGTCCCTGTATCTTTTGATGCAGTTAACATTAAACTGTTACCATGATCAATACAACCACAGGTTGCTCTTACATTATCTGGGGTCAATCCTGTGCCCCATCCCTGCTTTCCAAAGGACGGTATGGATGCAGAGTAAACTCTGTATCAAGTGAAACTCCATCACCTATATACAGTTATTTATTTAAGGAAGGTCTTTCTATCAAAGCTGCAAAGCACACCTTAAGATATAACTATCTGCTGCACCTGCCACATACTCCAGAATAGTCATTATTTAACATCATGAACATAATCCGCTTCCCATAACCATTTCTTGCGCCTTCCTTCCGTCTATAGTAACATCTGTGCTTCCTTTGTGAACTCCCGTAACTGCCATCCGCCTCTACCTTTCCTCTCTCCTTTGCCTTTTCTTTATACTGGTTTCCACTCTTTGCACTCCTTCTTTTCTGCTAAGTCGCCATTTTTGCCACTGCCTCTGACAGCCCATGCGTGCAGATGAGCAAACACCACCTGCTGATACTTCCAGTTACTTACCTGGCGCAGGTAAGCGGCACATGAGTCACCGCCCCCTGAGTCCCTCGCACTTCCGCCCACATAACTCCTGGCCGCCCCGCCCCGCCCCTTCCTTTCCCTTACAATCCCGCCTCTTTCACCTCCACGCCTCCCTATCTGCGCTCATCCATTCCATTCTGCCTCTCCCCTTCCCATCCTCATTCTCTTCCCCTCCCTTCTCATTCTTATTCTCATTCTCTTCCCCTCCCTTCTCATTCTTATTCTCATTCTCTTCCCCTCCCTTCTCATTCTTATTCTCATTCTCTTCCCCTCCCTTCTCGTTCTTATTCTCATTCTCTTCCCCTCCCTTCCCATTCTTATTCTCATTCTCTTCCCTTCCCTTCCCATTCTTATTCTCATTCTCTTCCCCTCCCTTCCCATTCTTATTCTCATTCTCTTCCCCTCCCTTCCCATTCTTATTCTTATTCCCTCGCTCCCCACCCGTCCTCTCCCAACTGCTCCCCTTCCCCCTCCTCCTCCTTCCTCTCCTCTGCCTATGGCCCGCGCCTACCCTCTCGCGCCCACAAGCGTTGCCGCACATTCCCTGCGCGGGGACACGTGAGGATGGAGAAGCGAGCAGTCGTGCCGGCGGGGACGCGGGGACGCGAGGCCTCCCCTGGCATCCCAGGCCACGAGAATTCTCTTATCATGAAGGTGCAAGGAACCCGCGTGATGACACTGCTGCGAGGGTACACACTGACACCCTCACCCATACCCACTCCCCCACCCTCACCCACTCCTGCACCCGCACCCACGCCCACGCCCCACACCACACTCTCGACCCAAAATGACCCAAAGGTGCCCAGTGATTCCGCCCGGCAGCGTCTCCCTCCGGCTCTTCACAACTACGCCCCCAGCTCTCGCCCAATCTTCCCTGCTATCAGGCCTGCCTCTACATACATGTAGTTTGATTTGTTTCAGTGAATTGACAGAAAACGAGTTCCCACAAAAAGGTCCTTCTCGTCTGCGAAGTGCGAAGCAGGACGACGAACGAGCAAACCCCCGAATCCATCGCTTCCCCGTGGATAGCGAGTGACGTCAGCGCGCGTCCCGTTACGCGGAAGTGATGCAAGAGAGAGATGGTTTGGACGCATGATTAATCAACACCTTACGTACGCATCTAATATCCCGGTTTCTAGGTAAATGCACTTCTAATTCCATCCACCGGTAATTTCTCTCCGAGGGCCAGGTCCCTCAAGGAGCTCTAGGCCATCAATCACTTTTCCGTGGAGGTTGAGCATCACTCATCCGGTATTCGCCTGGCCGTCAACTTCGCTGGTTCGGGACAGTGATCCGATTCTGGGGCTACGAGTTCGCCCGGCCGGCACTTGCACAGCTGACACACTGCGTCTTCGCCTACTGTTTATGTCTACCACGGCTGACTTAGGATATGCCATCTCGGATACCCAATTCTACCCTAAATAGGCCTTATTCTGCCTCCAGTTCCAAGCTTACCGAACGGGGGAAGTTCAGGCATGAAGACCAGAGCCAACCGCCTCCGCCTTCGCCTTCTGAGAGCCACTCGAGCGAGCCACGAGAAAGCCACATGCGTCTTCGAGGAAAACGTCCCGCTCAAACGGCCTTTCGAGCGGACGAAATGCTTCTTGAAACATTTCTCCCGCCTGATCACGTCTTCAAGGACATACTCCGCGAAACGCATAGTTTTATGCACGCTCGTGTATTCAGACATCAGCACACAGCTCAATCCCGCCGAAAATCTTCCCCCTCCTACGCACGTGATAGCGAATCCAAGAGTACAGCATTAACGCCAAAAACAGAGCAACTACGAGTAGTTACAATAAATCATGAACTCGCATTAACTGCAGGCTGAGACGAGCGCGACACGCCGCTGGGGATCGATGCGCGAGCACCAGGGTCACGGCCTGACTCACCCACGCGGCCGCCGCTCGCACCTTCGTCCGCAGCAGGGTGGGGGCCGCCTCCGCAGGGGCAGGCCTCCGCACGTGCGGGGAGGGAGGGAGGGAGGGAGGGAGGGAGGGAGGGAGGGAGGGAGGGAGAGGGAGAGGGAGAGGGAGAGGGAGAGGGAGAGGGAGAGAGAGAGAGAGAGAGAGAGAGAGAGAGAGAGAGAGAGAGAGAGAGAGAGAGAGAGAGAGAGAGAGAGAGAGAGAGAGAGAGAGAGAGGAGAGAGAGAGAGAGAGAGAGAGAGAGAGAGAGAGAGAGAGAGAGAGAGAGAGAGAGAGAGAGAGAGAGAGAGAGAGAGAGAGGATGGTATTCAGTAAGGGGGGGGGGGGGGTTATACGGAAGAGTAACCTGCAGGAAACTTACTGTTCCTCGCACGACTGTAATTCCAGCTCTTGCTTTCAACCGTAC